ACTGATTGATAATGCGCCGGTAGAGGGTACGACCCCTCCACGGCTTTGCGAAAGGTACGCATGTACAGGAGGTACAAATGTTGAGAGATCCATCCTCATGTAGATCATACATATCTGCTTTTCTAGCTTCTCACTTGAATGGGCCCGTCGATGACAGGGATCGAAAGGAATCCAGGTGCTTATGCACTATGTATGAGAACGTTGTCGGTTCGGCGATAGTTTCGACTGTCGTTTCTGCCGTCGTCTGTCATCTAGCGCCGATTCGGTTCGTTGTAGCGCGAGACCGAGCGCCCAGCACCCGGCGGTGTCTACCTACAAATTAAAGATGCTGGCGGATGCTGTCGTTCGGCCTAGACTAGCCTTCCCTGGTCTACTCGGTCCCGGCGAGCTACGGGATGGCGTGAGCATAATTTACTCCCGATTTGTTTATGGCCGCAACCGAGGATTTTTTTCTTTACCTTCTCCGAGAGCCCTTACGTTTGCTCGTTATTGCTGCTGTGCGGATCCATTCTCAGATGAGGGAAAGACGACTGGCTGAATATAGTTTGTATCAGAAACGAATTTCCGAGGGCAGGGTTCACTCATCAGCTACGTTTACAATTCCGTGATTTAGGTGGAGCGAGATCTTCGAAGGAAAAATTAGGAAATGCGTTACGACGAACCCTCTGGAACGATCCTTCCGAGTCGGTTCCGTCAGCCAGGAAAAGTAGGACTCGAGTCGGGCGGTCGGGGCCCGGACCTTCCGGAAGACCGTGGAATGTTCACTCAATTTGGGAGAGACTTGCGGTGATAGCCCGCTTTATATTACGACGGCTCGCTTAATGTCCATGCTTAAATGCTCGAATTGTGTGAACGTTGACTATCACCGAGTGGGAGCGTGCGCGTAAGCGTCGCTGTCTGCTTGCCATTCTCGGCAAGCCTCTCTCTCGCACATTGGCTCTTCACTCAGTCAGTCAGTCAGTCAGACGATTGTGTCTATCGTCTTCTCTCGTCGACCGCTTGGTCTGCTCACTCGTTAGATGGAAGCTGGCCCCTACGTAAACAGTGACAAGTCATAGTCCTCGCTGCCTGTTGTTGTTAATGACGCTCATCGTGCTGCTAATGTCACTACCTAAAATCGCCAGTTCGTCCGTATCGCTCTCTAATCATCGAGCTGTTCACCGAAGTCTGTCATGTTATCCGGACGGGATAGAAGCGCTCCCGTTCGATTGACGACGTGACGCGAGAGTAACGGGACGACCCCGAGAGGACTTCCAGTCACTCACTCGGATCACCGAGAGCGTCTATTCCATGAAACTCATTCACCTCTTAATGACGCGTGAACTCCGCGTCGTCGTCGTCGTCGTCGCTGTCGTTATAAATAGCAGCAGGGATATTTCGGCTCAAAATCGCGCCTCGAACCCATCTCCCTGTCTTCATGTGTTCCCGCTTCATCAGCGTGAAAAACTCCGCGAATCGCTCTGAGCTTCGTATGCTGTAGGTAGTTGGGTGAGCACGATGACGCTCAGCCTCGTCATCACTGGAATTGCTCAACATTCATTTTGCGAGCTTCAAAAATGAAAGAAACTCCCAGACTTGTCGCTCGTCAGACGAATGCACTGCTCTCAGCAGTGTGGATGAAATAGCGGAAGCTCCCGCTGATGAACGAGACGACGCCTCTGGCTCGTAGGTCTTACGAACAGAGAGGCAGAAAGACCGGCAATCGAGTCGGGGAGAAAAAATGACGGCGAAAAAAAGTCCGAACTTGACTGATAACCTAGCCAGTCGGTCGACAGAGTGAAGATCTGTCGTCTGTTCGGTCGTCTCCGACAACGACTCCCGCCGACACTGACAGTTGTACCACTTTGCAGAGCTCTGCCGGTAGCGGATCTAACTACTGGTAGATCCGTTTAGTAGCGATCGTTCGGATCGAAGCATTGATCGATCGAGTTGACCGACAACGACATCTACGATAACTGTTCTCGATCCCCGTCCGATTCTGCGCCCTACGAACGATCACCCATAGCAGTTCGAATCGCCGGTTCGGAGTCGTATTTCGAGACTGTTGTCCAAATCAGAGAGAATGCTAACGTCGTCGACGAGGCGGACGACAGAATGATTAACAAATCGCTGACTTGACGAGCGAGACAGAACTGCGTTCATTCTACTCCGATGACAAAAGATTCCCGACGCGCTCAGATCCTCGCTCCGAGATACGATCATTGTTTCTCGATGAGGAAAACATTCGAAACAAAACGAATGAAAGGAATTAGGTACGACAAACAAGACCGGCAGCAACCCCATGCAAACAATTACTGCCTTTCAAAACTAAGACAAGACACGCTTCGAGCCACGTCGAATCCTCTGATTTCAATTTATGATCGCGATTCACGGGTGGTCCGCTCTGAGTTTTCTTTCAATCTGACACGAGCCCGGTGTCAGCAGGCTCGCGGACGAAGAGCGTTTTTTTTCGACTACGAGTCAACTCAAGCTCAGTGACGGAGTCAGTCGGGGATCGGGTCTTTACTATTTCCTGATCTTTGTGCACAGTTTCGAAAAATGCTCTACGGCGCGGCATTTTCCTATCTCTGATCTCGTTGTGCCGCTCCGGAGCTCGGGGCACCCGAAGAGCGACAAATCCATTTCGACGGATCGGAGAAAATGCTGAGATACAACGCGCGTATTTTCGAACGCGAGCGTTGACGGGCAGTCTGCCGTATCAGATAGAGGGGCTCGAGGCATTTCAACGCCAACCCGCAAGTTTCTGAGGCAGAGTCTGCCGTGATTCCGAGTCTTCGGCATCAAGGCTTCGAATCAGTGGGAGGCGGCGCTGTTTGAAAAGTATCCAGCTGGTTCGCTAGTCGCATGGTTGATTCGACTAATAGTAAGCAAATCACTATCATCCGAAAGAAAAACTTGTATTTCATGTGTGTGGCGCATCTCCGGCACGAGAGGACGGATTTACCGAACATGTTCTGCGCAGACGAAGTTCAATCCTGAGCCGGTGCTTCCACGACGGAACCGAAAAGACTGTATCGCATTTTTGCTCGAATAACGTTCGATCGGAGCTCGAACAGCTGGAACCTAGAGCCGCACTAGGGGAGGGACACGCATGCGAACGAGCGAGCAAGCGGGGCTCGAACGACTGTGGAAAAGAGTCGGAGGCGGGTTGTTATTTCTAGAAGATAAAGCAAAAGAGGCCATGTGTAAGAGCCGACCGTAAGACAAATGTTCCTGGCTTTATGGCACTGATGTTGAAAGGAGTTGAGCAGTATCCGGGACCGGAGACTTGCCATCCGACACCATGTAGTATGTACAAACAGACAAGGTGTTGACTTTTTTGAGTTTATTTCTGGGGTCTGGAAACGAGTGATTCATCTGCGAATCGCGGTTGGCTCGGTGAAAACTCGCATGGGTTGCTACTTCGTCCCACTTATCCAAACAAATGACCAAGAACTCGGAATTTCGACGGTTTTCCGCGTCACTCGGAGCCTCCCGTATTTTTGAGGAGCTCGATGCATCAATATCCCCTGTGAATATGCAGGACGATTTAACGCAAACGCGATGCGCACAGTGGAGAAGGAGCGCTTCACAAGGGCTCAAACGCAATCTCGCGCGGAATTTCTTCTCGGAAGCGGATGATAGTCAGTGCCGCCGCGCTAAGCAAATGAACTTTCATTCATCGGGTAAACTGCTTGCTGATCGCTGCCTGGCTGCCGGCTGACTATTAAGGGCACTTGAGGTGCTCGCGAGCGAATGTGAAAAGAACGAAGGGGAGCGGAGTGTGTGTGTGAACTGTCGAGGGGCCTCGGGACTCTTGAGGACACAACTCTATGTACAATCGAGGCTGTTTAATCGCCATCGTCCAGAGTGAGAGTTTCTCACTCACTCACCTCTCTACCACCCGCTCGCTTCCGCGCTACTCGGGATGGTGGAACTCTGCGGGGGCTCTACGCGGGTGTGTCAGCGAAGTACTCCGCGCTCGGCGGCGGCGGCTCTCTTGTGTTTCTTTCTAGTTTTCGATATATTTTTCTCTCGGTCGTCTTATGTGGAACCGTAGAGGAGAATTTCACTGCTGGAGGGTTCGTCCCGAGTGCAGAGTCATTCATGCCGGGCAGCTATTGGGGGTCGATCGAGCTTGGGGACAAGAGAGACAAGGACTAGGAAAGTGAGTAGGGAGAGAGCGAGGAGTTTCCCCTGGCGCAGTCCCGTTTCGTCTACCTAAACACAGGGGAGTCGCACTAAGCCGCTAAGGCTGAGTCTCGGAGGTAGATGGGACAAGGTAGCAAACAACACTTTTTTTCGGACTTGTTTGCTCTTCCGCTCGGCTTTTTTTGGCTGTTCTCTAATCTTTCCCTTCTCTCTCGGATCCTCTCGCTTCAAATAGACCGCTTCACGACTCGGCGTTGCCGGCTCAAGGTCTCCCGACAAGTCCGGAGAAGCAACAGCTCACTCGATATACAGTGATCTGAGAAACGGCTCTAAATAGGCTCACGTCTGCCCCCCTCACGAACCACGGGATCCTCACTGGGTAGCGATAATAAATACAGAAGAATCCTGTTGTGATTCAATAATTATCCACTCCAATTATCATCGTAAGCTCAATCGCATCGCTGTCACCCGATTGCAGGATGACAGGCGAATACTTTGCTTTGTCCACAGACGGACGAAGTATCCTCATTTGGTGCTAGCTAATCCTCTGACCTACTCTCCGCACAAAGCGAGTGGTCATCACTCCGTTGACATGTCGAGATCGTTCTCTCAGTATGATGAGAGCCATAGAGGTATGATATTGACTTCCGGAAGGGATCGAACAATAAGATCCCGCTCCCAGCTCACAGCTCGATTGCGATGAGCGCTAATTCGAACTCTACCGAGACGAGTCGCTAGAGCCTTCCGAGTCATAAATCCTCGTTCAATGAATTATGATACGTGATCCGTCAGATTGCTAGTGGAGCGTACGCCTACTTAATGACGCTAATCGCCGCCCGTCATTCATTCGTGTCATTGATCAATTACAGGAAAGTGTCATGTGAGAGACACGATTTGCTCCGCAAGAGAAGCTCGAGAGCTCACGGAAGCAATGTGAAGGACCGCACATCAATTTGCGCCAGGTAAGAAAGATCCGCACGACAGAACCTCCTTGGCGAGAAAACCCTCTCCATGATCTTCGAGGATGTGCCTTTCAATCTCGCGTCTTCCCTGGAGGGATGAAGATGCCTGAATCCTATCGATGCTTGTTCTCCCTGCTCGGCGGAGTTTCGCACGGGTCTAGGTGTTCCATCCAGCTCGACGAACTGAACGAAATTTCCCCATTTTTTGTTTACAGATAAGCGCATTCAAAAATGGAGGCCTTAAGGTCGACTGGTTTGACGCTACTCGTTGCGTGGGGTCTGCTTCTGGCGACTGCCGAGCCTCGACGGCAGGGCAATCAGTTGCAGGAACGAGTTGTTAATCCAGGGGAACGGATTTCGATACCGTGTTTTCTCGAAACACCTGGCGGCTCGATCCAATGGGTCCGAAACGGTCATCCCGTCGTCCTGGACGCAACGACCTCGTCACGGCGCCAGTGGAACATCTCGAAGGACGGCACTGCAGCCCTTTCAATCAACCAAGTGACTCGAGCCGACGACGGTCTCTGGGAATGCTGGGAGTTCGCTGACGATGGCTCCGTAAAACGGGTGGCCAAAGTGCTTAAGCTCGTTGTAACAGGTTCGTGCGTCGACGTCGTCGTCTTGTCGTCCTTCGATCAGCTGTCGCCACAGAGCGTCATTGTTATACAGCAGCAGAGCTAGCTCGGCCGGTGATCCGATCGGTTCCTCTTGCTGAGCGCTTTTCTGCAGGTTTTCTTCTCTCGCCGTCGAGCCTTCCGCTCGAGTAGATCTCTCCCAGGGTTCCGTTTCCAGGAACCTTTCCCTCAGGGGCTCTCTATCTCCCCTCTCGGAGTTTTCCCCCCGCTCGGGTCTTGTTCCCCGACGGAAGGAGCCGCGGGGACATTGGGCTCCATCCAACTGACAGGTTTCCTCACTCTCCCTTGTTCTTCCATACAGGCGCTCCGGAAGAACCGTTTCTCGTTCAGAACGGAAAACGAATTTTTCCCGGCGATAGTGTTGTCGCAAAGGAAAATCAAACCGTCACGGTGGAATGTGTCGCCCGTCGGGCCGTCCCCGAGGTGAAACAGGTTTTCTGGTCTCTGGGTCCCGACGGCGTAAACGTGACGGCGAAATCTGATCTCAAAGTGGACTTCATCTCGCACGAAGATTCTTACACGACACGGAGCGTACTCACTTTGAATACGAGTCGTGCGATGAATCATCAGAGAATTTCGTGTCACGTTTTTCACGTCGCGTGGCCGAACGCCACGGTGGTTAACGCATCCCTGAATGTCCTGTGTAAGTACCGATTTCCCTCTGTTGAGAGCGAGCGAAAGATTTGAAGTCGAGTTCGATATGAGCGCCATGTCCGGACTTAGATATAAGTCCTCATTGACACAATGATTTGCGTTTTCGTTCGCGCATTCGCGGTCGTCTCGCAGGTTGCAAAGTTGACGGTGCGGGTCGGCGTGGCTCCGGTCCCGAGTGAGAGTTTGACGTTTCACTGTCACTTGCAGATCCACCCACTTTTTCAATCAGCCGAATCCCGGGCTTCGGACATCCAGTTGTCGAGAAAAGCTTCGTGTCTTTGGAGTGCATCATCGACGCGAATCCGCCATCGACCCCGCATTGGTCGAAGGACGACCGAGCCATCAACTCCACTCAGGTCATTCGACAAGGGGGAGGTTTCCTCAACTTCACATCGGCAGATCGTAATCATAGCGGGTGGTACAGATGCACCACTCAGCATCCAATGGGCACCTTCGCTTCGTTCGGCTACCTCCTCAGTATCAGATGTGAGTACACTCCATTCCTAAGGATGTGATGGTGGCTACAATGGGGTTTCTCCTGGAAGAACGCGAGGAATATCGGGGCTTTCGGGCGAGGGAAAATACGGAGAAAAATTGGAGAAAATCGAATATACTTCAAAAGGAGCGACGCCCAGCTCCTGCCGTGTAGGCACCTTCGAGCGGCAGCCTACTTCTTCATGCAGTTGATGGGAATCAATCTCCTGAGAACTCTTCGTATCGAAGACGGATAGACTCGCTCGGCGTTCCTTAGTCGGATTCTCTAGGCATTTCCTTCGGAAGCAGTATTCCTTCCTCGGCTGGGGCGGGGACCTCGTCCATTCTCGCTCATGTCGCGTGGGTCCTCCAAGATGCCTAGAGGGCCAAAGAAGAAAAACGATGCTCGATTCAGAGCTCTCCTTCTGACCGAGAGAAAAAAATCGACGCTTTCTGTTTCAGTCGGACCCGAGATGATGGACGATACTCCGAAAGAGATCCACGCCGATTTCGGAGAGCCAGTCCGGTTAGAATGTCAGGCGAAGGGCAAGCCGTTGCCATCCTACTGTTGGTCACGGAAACAGCCCGGTCGTATCGCCGAGGGTCTGACAAGCGATTCGACGCTGGTTCTCGACCCGGTCGTGTACCAGGACGCGGGAACGTACCAGTGTACGGCGTCCAACCTACAAGATTGGAAAAGACAGCGGAACGCGATCCGAGAGGTCCAACTTTCTATCACAGGTTCGTTCGGAAGCATCAAGCCGAATGTGAAACAAAAGGAATGAACCCAGAGAAGGACCGGATGACTTTCTGATTTTTTTCGAACTCAAAGCTGGAACCTCATGCTTTTCCAGGTCGGCCCGACGTCAGCGCGTTGAATTCATCAATGGTTGGGATTATCGGCCAGAGCATGTGGATCACGGTTCATGTTTGCGCCAATCCGCAGCCGTCCCGTTCACACTGGCTCCTAGGACATCACGTCATGAGTCCAGGCGATAAGCCGAGCTCGCATTCGCACTATATCGCGCACCCATTCAGAGTGAGTACCTATTAGTCAGTATTGGATCCCACTCGAGAAAATTCAGAGGATCCAGATGAGCGCGAAATGATGTTAAGCCTCCGGAAGGTGCTCGAACTCAGGATGGAGGGAACAAGAAGCCCGGGTGGAGCCCGAAAGTGGGTTCTGCTGATAAGTTTCTGAACGATAAAAAAGGCACTGAGCACGCTCCCGGCTGAGCATTTTCGGCTGGCTGAGAATACGGATGCAACGGAGGAACAGACCACCTCTGGACGGAGAGTGTGGGTGGGTGTTTGCAAGAGTGGGTCCGGACGAGGAGAAATCCGGGGGAGGAATGAGTGAAATCTGCTCTTCTATCGGACCGGCAGCTGTTCACCGGCTTGTTGCCTCTGGGGGTTGAGGCAGAGCACGACGAACGCAAAGTGCACAACAATGCTGATGACGTACAGATAGAAGAGTCCTTCTCTCTCCCGTCTTCTCGCTTTTTGATAGAAGCGTCTTATCTCGCGTGCGAGAGGACGAACTCCGGGCGGCGAATGCGCTGGGACTTGAAAGCATCGGCGCCACCCATCGGCGGCCAGGCAGGGGACGACGGCTATGACGTTGAGAACAAAAGCAATCTGAGCTGGTTTTGTTTCTTTTTTCAGAGCGCCGACACCCCATTTTGTCGGTATGCGTCGTTGGAAATTACACAGGTCCGCAGCTCCGATGCGGGCGAGTTCTTATTCGTGGCGAGAAACGATCGTGGAATCGATGACGCCGCGATTAACGTCACTGTTGTTAAGAGCGCATTTGGATATCATAGTAATTTCATTCCACACAGTCGACCGACCGGCGTTCGATCCGAGATGTCCAGACCGGTCATGGCTACGGCAAACTCGGGTAAGTCCTGAATCCGATTAAATTCGTTTCCTTATCCCGAACACAAAATATATTATATTTTGTGCGTAAAATGTAATATATTTTGTGATCTCATTCAGTATTCGTGGGCTCTGCAGGTGTTTGCGGGAGTTTGTTCAAGACGACCCTGATTTGGAATCTGCTGCTCCTAGTGAGTCTGTTTCGGACGCACCGGTTAGGTTTGAGAATCTGAAGCAGCCTTAGCTTACTGTTGATCGTCTGAATAAATGAATGATAATTGATTGATGCGTGCGCGCGTGCATGAATAGCTGGTTGATTGGTCGGAGAAAGCGGCGACCGAGTGGATGGAGCGTTAGGCCAGATGACGGATGAAGTTGTACAGAAATTTTTATCGTGTAGTTTGGTGAACTGTGAACTCAGGGAGAGGACCCGGACAGAATTAGACCAAACATCCACTCCAACATCAAGCGGAGGGATCCGAGATCTCGTTCTCTCTGATGGAGACGACGACCGGTCGTTGCCGCCGCACGGCGTCTCGAAGCCATGGACTTTGTACTGAAGGTGAATTCATTCACCAACAACGACGGGGCCTCGACGATTGCGCTACCGGAGCATCAGCGACACAGGGGAAAGCTAGGCTCGGAGCTGACCTAGTAGAACCCGGCGCTCGGAGCGCAATGAGCTCATCATGCAGGCCTCGTCTAGTTGAACTAGAGATTGTGTAGATAACGATGATGATGATATCAATTATTAATAATACTATTATTATTATCATTATTATTATTATTATCTGATTTCCCTCTCGGGATACACCTATGACACGCAGGATCGAGAAAGTTGATAAGAACGAAGTTTAGGAACGAAAAATACCAGGTGACGCGGTCTCGAGCCGGAGCAGCTTTTTGTACATACAAGTGTGTTGTATTGTATAATATTATTTACACAGAGGTAGATTGTGAGTCTGACTGAGAGAGGAATCGAAGAACAAAGTGGAGAGAGGAATATATTATTCGGGGAGAGAGGAACCGTTCATGACTTTACTGAAAGAGGAGTCGTCAGATATAGCTCGACGAGTTGTGTACGGTCTTGGAATAAATTATTGACAGAATTTTGTTGTTCTCATATTCTCGTGGGTTGAAGAGGGTGCCGGCGACGAGAAGTCTTCCGGACAGCGGACGGTAATCGGGGGCATTCCTGGGATGCATGCCACAACCTGTCAGCAGAAAATTTCTCGATTCATAGATGGATAGGATTCATTACATCCACTGAGATGGATTTGACGCCATACGGCACACCCCTCATTCACAGGCACGCTCCCTCATCGATAGTGACATCAGAGCCCAATTGCGGCTAAACAGGTGTCTGCAGCAGCCTGCTCATCCATGGGCTGATACAGAGAGGCTGTCACAAAGCATTTAAGTATTGTTGCCTTTAAACTTTGCTGGAGTCGGGCCAAGAGAGTTTTGCACAAAGAACGACTCTGCGCCAGAAAAGAGAGCGGGCGGAAGGCCATCCGACCGGTTGACTGGTTTCAGTTTAAGTCTCTCCTCATGCCGCGACCACGGCTGGCGCAGCAGCGCTCGAGGTCCGTCGAGTCAACGCTTCATCGATTTCCTTAGTGAAGATTAGACATCTTATTATCCCTCCTTCATACACTTCCCGGCAAGATATCGGGTTAGTGTATGGGAATATTCGCGCAAAAAAGAGGTTCCGATCGCTACTAAACGCCTATGGAACTTACGAGCTTCTTACGAGCAGTTTTGCGCTCGTTCGGGGTTCGACGAGAAGCTTCTCTGACTGGGATTGACCATGTGAGCAGGAAGCGCGTTCTGCTCGGAGCTTCGACCGTCGCGTACGGCTACTCGATCAATAAAGTATGCAAAGTTATTCAAATGCTCTGTGTTACGGGCCGTATCTATTTTTGAGCCGTGAGGCAAGCAGAGTGGATCTGCTTACGCTTTTCAATCGACCGATGACGATTTTTTGTTGACCAAATCGAGGACATTTCTCCCTTGACAAAAATATACATCGCCTTCGATGGTCGTCGACGACGAGGAATGAAAATAAATTTCCTTCTGTTGCATCGATATTTCTCCATCGGCAAAAATACATTCACCGTCGATTTGTCCGTCATCTATTGAGAGATCCGACTTCCGTCAGAGAGTGCACTGAATCATCTTTCGCCTATCGATTCGACTCTTATGTAGAACAGTCCATCGGACCGTACGCGTACGTATCGGCGAGGGAACCCACCGACTAGTGAGCCGTCCCGAATGATCGTACCACTCCGTCGGGACTGCTCCTCCCGAGCCAATTATTCATCATCTGTATCAGAGGATATGATAATCGACTCGAATTGTAAAAAAAAATTACCTGCACAGGAGAGCGATCGGCAATAATGTTCATTCGATGCCCGGCTGAGACAGAAGTCCCAATAACGCGTTCGCGAATGCTTTATGTTTCGCAGTCTCCATTCAGGTCGCATTAGCTTCCGCGGACGCGCCATATCTGCGCATCTTATTCCGAAGTAAGCGCGGATGAGTGACGGACTTCGCGTGCAGAGGACGCGCTCAGAGGTCAATATTCGTGCGTTTGCTCGCAGCGAATCATACGGTCAGTCGGGCCTTCTCACTAATTGAGGACCGTCAATTGTCGTATTAGCGGAGATTAGCCAATGCCGAAAGGTTTGTCAAGGCGAGTTAGTGTTCATGGATGTTCCCTAGCCACTTGATGCGTTCGTCCGAGCATTGAATTAACGTCAATCCGATCGACTCCCAGAAGTTGAAAGCAAAAGCTTCAATTCCATGACCATGACATGTTTGTCCGAACAAGAAAACTTCATCAGGAATCGAGAATCGGGCCCACAAGTCGGGCATGATATAAAGCTACCGATCACCATGCCTAGTTGCTCCATGGATAGGATGCTGGTCCAGAGGAACAATATTCTCGGGGGATGCTAGGACTGGGTCGCAGGGCTGCAGCAATGGAACGAAAACGTATGAGCAAAATAGAGAGAAACTATGGGATATGGATCGGGCCGGAAGAAATACTCGCGAAAGACCTGAGAGCGATTGGAGCTTCGGATGCAGGAGCACGCACGAGATTCGGCAATCGAATCATCCGTCGCTCCGTCACTAGACGGAGTGTTAGCCGCTTTGTCATCCCGATCGACGGTCGCGCATCGGGACCAGTTTCTCGCCTTGGGAGGCAAGAAGGCGCCGGTGCGGCGTCGGGTCCTCCCGACAGAAGCGTCTTCCTTCAATGATCCACCTTAGAAATCCTTCTGGACCGCGGAATTATTTGCCGATCGGCCGGGAGAATGAATCTTATGGTTTCGATGCGGATGAAGCGATTCAATTTCTCGATTCGAGCAATATAATATTCCATTGATCGTTTAATCAAGGCGATTCCGTGTGGTCTCGGTAGGATTGGCCCAGGATTTCGCCCGTAGATCAACGCAGAAGTTTTCGATTCTCGGCCTATTTGAAGCGAAATGCGATCTTTATGCAGTCGATGCGAGCAGCCATCTACTCGATCATTAAGCTCGCTTAGCTGATTTAGTCGAATCGTTATCTCACCGGGCGCAGAATACATCCCGTGTCACTGCTCAGTGAGGTTCCTCGAAGGAGCGGTTTGAGAGGCATCGATCCTCCATTCGGTAATTTCGAATTCGATCCGAAGCGCATCCCCGCGAGTCGAAAGGAGGTCATTCTACCTAAAATATCACGTTCACGGACCACGACGCAGTTTCTCAGGCAAAGCCATCCTCAGAGGTCCCAAACTTGCCTCACCTGTTCCGGAACGCTCTGCTAGACGTCGTCTCCGTACCCTGGTTCCACGATAGACGACTGAATTCCGGGAAGGAGGGGAAGAGATTAATTAATTCATCTGATTGGCAAGCGGTATGCATCTCAACTGGGATAACGGGGACTGGGAGCGTTCCGTGAACAATGTAGCGGATTCGCTGCGACCGTGAGCCTACAATCCTTGGGCCAGAGATCCCCGACGTTCCGATAACTCATGAATCATGAATGCTGACTTATCCCGCTCGAAGCCCGACAATATCTGAGCGAACGCTCGTCCTGAGGAACGCTTAAGGCGATGGCTCCGCGACCCCAACTAATGCCTGAAGAGAATGACAGACTCGTAGGTGCGGGCAGTTAGCATTAAAGCTCGGAGAGGAGGAAATTCTAGGGAGAGAGCAGGAAAATCGGACGAATCCTGCCGAGGACGTGTCTTACAGCAATCGGGAATTCGGAAGGAAAGAAATGAAGGATTTGCGCCTGAGGACATCCAATCAGGAGAACTACACGTAAAATGAGCACTGAAAGAAGGATTAGTGGAGTGGAAAATTTACTTTTCCCGGATTGCGCTCCTGATTCAGCTTTGCTCGAGCTGAAATCACACCCCAGTTGAGTCTGAATGGTTCTCCTCTGATTGGAAAACTCCTCCGTTTGACTTGTTCGACTCCGAGAATGAAAACTTTCCAACGAGGGGAGAATGTCTGGCGATCGAAAAAAATCCCAATCTCAACGATGGTTTCACATACTCGGGTTGGTACATGGGACGAAAACCGACGATCTTGGGGCGGGAGTCCACGAATTTACGATCGATACCGGGACTTTTTCGAAAAACCGCGGGCACATAATGTTCCATGAAGCAAAACTTGAATGTCTTTACAACCGTGCCGTGCAGGGAACAAAGTGGGGTCTTGCATCGGATTGAGCTCGACTTATAGCACGGACAGGCATTGGTTGGACAGCTCTGAGCTCCGGGTATCGATATCAAGAGTATCATATTGTTTTTCGTTCGTTTGTTCATTGCAGGGTGTTTTGTTGCCTTCCCCGCGAGCCTGCCGCCAGACGGCTTGCTCTCCTGCTGCTAAAGTAATCCAACGGGCTTAGCTTAGCAATGTCTCTATTTGGCAGATCGGCAGCCAAACAAGCGAGGGCAAGCGTATATTCTGGTGGGTAACAGGCGGGCAGGCCGACGCGCGAGCGGGCGGGCAGGCGAATGCGAGAGCACCCAAAGTGTGGCTGGGTTGGGAGAACACTCCACCTAATTACTCGTATATCTTGCACCCTTTGACACTCGTTCGGGCCACAGGCGTAATGGGTGAGATTTCTGTTGTTGTGTTCATCACACCGGAGTTCGAGCGATTGCCCCAGAGGTTCCTGGCTTACATCAAGAGTG